ACTGAGCTATAAGGTAAAGGTAAAGGGACCCCTGACCATTAGGTCCAGTCGTGGCCGACTCTGGGTTGTGGCGCTCATCTCGCTTTACTGGCCGAGGGAGCCGGCGTACAGCTTCCAGGTCATGTGGCCAGCATGACTAAGCCGCTTCTGGCGAACCAGAGCAGCGCACGGAAACGCCGTTTACCTCCCCCTGGAGCGGTACCTATTTATCTACTTGCACTTTGATGTGCTTTCGAATGCTAGGTTGGCAGGAGCAGGGACCGAGCAACGGGAGCTCACCCCGTCGCGGGGATTCGAACCGCCAACCTTCTGATCGGCAAGTCCTAGGCTCTGTGCTTTAACCCACAGCGCCACCCGCGTCCCTATGGAAGATATAAAGGTAAAGGTAAAGGTACCCCTGCCCGTACGGGCCAGTCTTGACAGACTCTGGGGTTGTGCGCCCATCTCACTCAAGAGGCGGGGGCCAGCGCTGTCCGGAGACACTTCCGGGTCACGTGGCCAGCGTGACAAGCTGCATCTGGCAAGCCAGCGCAGCGCACGGAACGCCGTTTACCTTCCCGCTAGTAAGCGGTCCCTATTTATCTACTTGCATCCGGGGTGCTTTCGAACTGCTAGGTTGGCAGGCGCTGGGACCGAGCAACGGGAGCGCACCCCGCCGCGGGGATTCGAACCGCCGACCTTTCGATTGGCAAGCCCTAGGCGCTGAGGCTTTTACCCACAGCACCACCCGCGTCCCTATGGAGATCTTCCACTACCTCCTGCAGTTTGGTCAAACTCATGCTGGTAGCTTCGAGAACACTGTCCAACCATCTCGTCCTCTGTTGTCCCCTTCTCCTTGTGCCCTCCATCTTTCCCAACATCAGGGTCTTTTCCAGGGAGTCTTCTCTTCTCATGAGGTGGCCAAAGTCTTGGAGCCTCAGCTTCAGGATCTGTCCTTCCAGTGAGCACTCAGGGCTGATTTCCTTCAGAATGGAGAGGTTTGATCTTCTTGCAGTCCGTGGGACTCTCAAGAGTCTCCTCCAGCACCACAATTCAAAAGCATCCATTCTCCGGTGATCAGCCTTCTTTATGGTCCAGCTCTCACTTCAATACATCACTATTGGGAAAACCATAGCTTTAACTATACGGACCTTTGTCGGCAAGGTGATGTCTCTGCCTTACTTGGAAGCAAGTCCCATTTGCTTCCATGGGTGGCATCTCATGTTAGTCCCACTCACAGCAGACTTGTTGAAACTAAGTTTGGTCCATTGGTTTCAATGGGACTTCGTAAGACTCAGTTGCAGACAAACCAGTGCCACTTAACTTCCATATAATGGACACAATCCATCGAAATGTGCAGTGCAATCAACGTCCAGCTCATTTCAGTGGAACGTACTTCCCAGTTACAGTGTGTAGGGCTTAGGAAGCTGCCTTCTATTGGGAAAGCCACTGTCTCACCTGGTATTGTCTTCACAGATTGGCAGCTGCTCTCTGGGTCTGGGGTTTCAGGCAGAGATCCCTCCTAGCCTTACCTGGAGATTCCTGCTGGGATCAAACCTGGAATTTTCTGCATGGAAGGCAAATGCTATACCACTGGGTTGCAGCCCTAAACCACAACTTCAGCTTTAGTTGTGACGAAGGGCAATGACAGCATCCTCAGTACATTTACTCAGAAGTAAGTCTTGAAGAGTTCCATGGGGTTTGAGTAACGTGGGTTAGGACTAGGACTTCTTTAAAAGCCACAGGACTAAACTTGGTGGTGACTCATTAATGAACACTTGTTTTGCTCACACTGCACAGATGTAAATTTGGGGTTTGCTACCAAATGTAAGGGGATGCGGGTGGCGCTGTGGGTTAAACCACAGAGCCTAGGACTTGCCGATCAGAAGGTCGGCGGTTCGAATCCCCACGACGGGGTGAGCTCCCGTTGCTCGGTCCCTGCTCCTGCCAACCTAGCAGTTCGAAAGCACGTCAAAGTGCAAGTAGATAAATAGGTACTGTTCCGGCGGGAAGGTAAACAGCGTTTCCGTGCGCTGCTCTGGTTCACCAGAAGTGGCTTAGTCATGCTGGCCACATGACCCGGAAGCTGTACGCCGGCTCCCTCGGCCAATAAAGCGAGATGAGCGCCGCAACCCCAGAGTCGGCCACGACTGGACCTAATGGTCAGGGGTCCCTTTACCTTTACCTTTTACCAAATGTAAGTAGTAAATAAATTTTTATTTATACCCCGCCTTCCCCAGCCAAGACCTAACATCAAATATCAAATACATTAAAACACAATCAAACAATTGATTAAAATACAGCTTAAAAAGTAGAATCAGGGTAAAATTAAACGATTGCCCACGAATTACAACCATAGGGGTCGGGAACCTCAAATATTCATCAGGGCCAGCTATCCATGTTGGTCCCACATGAGCCGATAAAATGGCCAAAGAGGTAACTTACAGGGTCCCATAGATGGGGGGCGGGGTGTCAAACTGGGCCCGGACTGAAGGCCAGGAGGAACAGCTCCGTCTTGCAGGCCCTACGGAAAGATGTCAAGTCCCGCAGGGCCCTGGTCTCCTGCGATAGAGTGTTCCACCAGGCTGGGGCCAAAGCCATTGCAGATCTGCAGCCAATCCCAGCTTCCTGTATGGGGCATAACTTTATTGTATTCACGCTACATTTTTTAAAAAAGTTTGTGCTTAAAATACAACACACAATGTCCTCCTTAGGGCATTCTCATCCCGTGCATGTTTATATAGATGTAAGTCCCACTGATTTCGATGGGACCTTGTCTGTGTTTAGGATTTGGGTTGGTGGGAGTGTCAGAAGATTTCTTCTCATGACCAGATTTCTCTCAGCTCACATCTTTTCCCCTGCAGGGAGGTTTATGGGCTGGCGTATCAGGGCTGTGTCTTCTCGCTCCCACACCCCAGCCAATTGACAGCTCTGTCATTAGGAGGAGAAAGGTGTATGTTTGGTTTTGAGGGGGAAAGGCTGGTGTGGAAGAGAAGAATTACCTCTTTCTAAACCCCCCTCCCTGTGCCCATCGAAAGAAAAGCAATTCAGATCCCCCCACCCTCTTCAGCTTCTCAGCAACCCGATTATTGGGAAATGTAATATTTCTGCATGGTTGGGTTTTTTTATATATATAGCGAATGGTTAAATATTTGCTGTGTTGAATAATTATATAAATATCTCTTTTCAAGTGTAAAGAAAATTACATTTTAAGAAGAAAAACTTAAGGGGAAGGACACTGAGAACCAAATTCTTGCACTTCTGTATGGAAAGCTCAGATCGGGCCCCACAACCCCAAATAAAACCAGTGTTCCTCTTCCTGTTGTTGTTTATTCGTTTAGTCGTGTCCGACTCTTCGTGACCCCCTGGGCCAGAGCACGCCAGGCACTCCTGTCTTCCACTGCCTCCCGCAGTTTGGTCAAACTCAAGCTGGTAGCTTCAAGAACACTGTCCAGCCATCTCGTCCTCTGTCGTCCCCTTCTCCTTGTGCCCTCAATCTTTCCCAACATCAGGGTCTTTTCCAGGGAGTCTTCTCTTCTCATGAGGTGGCCCAAAGTATTGGAGCCTCAGCTTCAGGAATCTGTCCTTCCAGTGAGCACTCAGGGCTGATTTCCTTCAGAATGGATTGGTTTGATCTTCTTGCAGTCCATGGGACTCTCAAGAGTCTCCTCTAGCACCAGAATTCAAAACTAATAATTCAAAATTCTCTTCCTAGCTGTGGGTTATCGGCCAGAGTATTTGGGAATCGGATTCTGAAGACGGCACAATAACATCAGAAGAATCTTGTAGGCCTGAGGTCTGGCTAGGCCAGCATCCTGTTCACATGGGGGGCAACCAGATGTCCCAAAGGGAAGCCCCACAATCTGAACACAAGAGCTCTCACAGCACTTGTGATCCCTAGCGACTGGTCCTCATTTTCACGAAAAACTGCCCTTTGGCGTGCGTTCTGCTCCCTTGCCAGTTCTAGCCCAGGACAGAAATCACTGTAGAATCTGGTTCCTAAATCAAAAGTGCCCTGCCCCCTCCCCAGCAAGGTTGGGAAATGCAGAAACTGGTTTAAAAGCGTCACTGGGGGTGGGGGGAGCAACTGGCCTAAGAGGAACGTGATGGATTTCCCTTCCTTTCGTCTTCGACTTGTGCTGTGCGGTTTGAAGCTTTCCAGTCGTCTTAGAGCAAGTATATTTTTTTTCCACCCTGCGAGACATAAAAGTTATTTGCCCCCCCCCGCCGCCGCCATGCCCAGCCCTGCAACACCCTACCCCCAGATCCCTACTTACAGCTGGCAATGGTTTTAATTTGCAATTTCCCCCCTCCCTCTTGGAATTTGCAGCGGGGCAGAGAGGGAGAGAGAAGATGAAATGTTGCAGGATTTTGCCTCCCCATCTTTCTTGGGGGGCAGCGGGGGATTTGTTTTGCTTTGCGTAGGAGATCTAAAAGTTCCGTGGAGACGCTCACTTAACAGCTACACCGTGCTGGGCCTCAGCTACAAATATTTGTGTAACATATGGTGCGTGAACTTGTATAATGTATGGCTGGGAACACTCTGTCTTGCTAGCTATCCGTCCAAATCTAAGGGGAAAATGTGTGTGCTTGTGGGGGGGGGGGGAGCAGCCAAAGGATGGCCTTTACTGGTTTGCAGTTGACATTGCTCATACGACATAAATCACAGAACAGGATGGAAGTCAGCTCCCCTCCGAACCCCCAAATGAGCTCTTTGAAATAACTGTGATCCTAGCAGAAACGGTTTCTTAGAGCCACATACTGCCTCCCCCCCCTCCTTTGAACAACCTCTCTCTCGTTTTTTCAGAATTTGCTCTTCATCTAGAACATTACTTGGCACGTAGACCAAGATTCCAAATTGCATTTTTTTGCATGGATTTTAAGAATTGTGGAATTGGGTTTTGTTTTTTTGCACACACACACGGCCCTTGCTGTTTTTATTCACTGGGCGGGGAGTTCCCTTCACACATGCAGGTTGAGATCTTGACGATGCCACACTGTGGTGACTTTGAGGTGTGAACATGCCGTGTCGTACGCCGCATCCCAGACAGGACTTCTGCAGCCTGCACACTGCTTGACACACACACACACACACACACACACACACACTTTGATGGAGTCTGTCAGTTTACAAACTCGGCTTAGAGGTCTCCAGCGCTGGTGGGCCAAGGCAGGGCCAGGGGATGTAAGAGACGACAAACAGATGCACAATATGGGCAGACACGATTCGTGATTATAGTTTTCTGGGTCTCCATGTGTCTTCTACTGAACGAGACCTGCCTACAGAGCCTCTCACAGCCAAGGCTGGGTCCTGGGGCCCATATGTGAAGTTGAGATGGGGGGAAAGTCGGTCTCAGGGCATATGCAGAGGATTTTTATTTTTGATTGTTTCCAACCGTCTCTCCAATAATTTTTTCTTTCCAACAGGCCTTCCCAGATGGGCAAATGAGTCTTTACCACAAATGTCCACTTGTTAATATTTTAGTCTTGTGTTAAATATATGGGCAGAGTGTAAAAAATAAAATTGTTGCTGTTATTATTGTTGTTTTTCTGTTTTTGTCTTATATGCCTGGAGATGGTGGTTTAGAAGGCAGTTAATAAATCAATGATGATGGCATTAAGAGAGCAGCAATATGGGTTTTCAGGTTATGGGTTGTATCCAATGTCAAGTCTTATTCAGAATAATCCACTGAAATTGGGCAGCATGACTTAAGGCCCATTATTTTCAATAAGTCTACTCTGAGTAGAACTTGGGTGGAGACAACCCTATGACCCCAAGGCAGCATTCCCACCACTGCCTGGCCGAGGAAAGTAAATATTGAGATCCAATGCAACTTTCCCCCCAATTTTCCATGAATTTTAATGTACAGCAATTTGTTTTTTCCTTTCAAATGGTCTCGAACACCAATAGTCCTTTTGCCTCACTTTATGCTGGCAGCGTGGCTAGTCAGGAAATGAGGGGAAAGCACCAGGCTCTGTAAGAAGAGCTTATGCTCTGAGCCTCCAACTCCTTTCCAAACCCATCGTGCCCCAGTTTCTGTTCCGAGCTGAAACGTTGGCTGTTCTTCTTTGGATCTCCCACTCTGCTAGGCCCTAAACATCTCCTCTTGTGTAACAGGCATCCCTTATTCCCGCTGCTGGCCCTGGTCTTTGAAAAATGTGAGCTGGCAACCTGTTCTCCCAGGGACACTTCTGGCTCCTACCCGGGAGGAGACGTCTGCTCGTCGGATTCCTTCAACGAAGACATTGCCGTCTTTGCCAAACAGGTTGGTTTCTGGAGAACGAGAGGTGATGGAGGGAGGACAGAGCTGGGGAGTGCTTGGCAGTAGGAACCTGCAAATAAATCTTCTCTAAGTTGTTGTTTAGTCGTTTAGTCGTGTCCGACTATTCGTGACCCCATGGACCAGAGCACGCCAGGCACTCCTGTCTTCCACTGCCTCCTGCAGTTTGGTCAAACTCAAGCTGGTAGCTTCGAGAACACTGTCCCACCATCTCGTCCTCTGTCGTCCCCTTCTCCTTGTGCCCTCCATTTTCCCCAACATCAGGGTCTTTTCCAGGGAGTCTTCTCTTCTCATGAGGTGGCCAAAGTCTTGGAGCCTCAGCTTCACAATCTGTCCTTCCAGTGAGCACTCAGGGCTGATTTCCTTCAGAATGGAGAGGTTTGATCTTCTTGCAGTCCATGGGACTCTCAAGAGTCTCCTCCAGCACCATAATTCAAAAGCATCCATTCTTCGGCGATCAGCCTTCTTTATGGTCCAGCTCTCACTTCCATACATCACTACTGGGAAAACCATAGCTTTAACTATACGGACCTTTGTTGGCAAGGTGATGTCTCTGCTTTTTAAGATGCTGTCTAGGTTTGTCATTGCTTTTATCCCAAGAAACAGGCGTCTTTTAATTTCGTGACTGCTGCAGTGATCTCTAAGTTACCACTCCTTAAAAATGTTCCTTAGCCAAATTGCCTACTTGTATGTATTTGTAAGGGACGCGGGTGGCGCTGTGGGTTAAACCACAGCCTAGCACTTGCCGATCAGATGGTCAGCGGTTCAAATCCCCGCGACGGGGTGAGCTCCCGTTGCTCGGTCCCTGCTCCTGCCAACCTAGCAGTTCAAAAGCACGTCAAAGTGCAAGCAGATAAATAGGTACCACTCTGGCGGGAAGGTAAACGGCGTTTCCGTGCGCTGCTCTTGTTCGCCAGAAGCGGCTTAGTCATGCTGGCCACATGACCCGGAAGCTGGAGCGGTACCTATTTATCTACTTGCACTTTGACGTGCTTTCGAACTGCTAGGTTGGCAGGAGCAGGGACCAAACAACGGGAGTTCACCCCGTTGCGGGGATTCGAACCGCCGACCTTCTGATCGGCAAGTCCTAGGCTCTGTGGTTTAACCCACAGCGCCACCCGCGTCCCTCTACTTACATCATAGGAGCCTACAAAACACCGTTGCTGTATGTAGGTTTTATTTTATTTTATGTTTATCTTATATTTTGGAAATGTGCATCCAGTTTTTTTCCCTTTAAATTTTTTTGGGCCCCCAAGAGAGTGGGGCCCTAAGCTATAGCTTGCTTAGCTTATATGTAAATCCAGCACTGGTTGCGTCCAGCACGTGTTATCCCACCCTTTCCAGGACATCTCCCTGCCAAGGGTGCGTCTGTAGTGTTGCTTTCATTATAGGTGAGCTTCCACCACACGGTGGCAAGTTTAGGAGGCACAATCAGCGCTGATTTGGCACCCTTGATTTGGCACAAACCCACTTCCCCCCTCCCTAATCAGACTTTCTAGCGCAAGGAATAAGCTTAGGCAGCGGGCACTGGAAACGGTGGGATTCAAGTTGCAAGAAAGGGAGATTCTGGCTCAACATCAGGAAGCACCGTATTTTTTGCTCTATAAGACTCACTTTTTCCCTCCTAAAAAGTAAGGGGAAATGTGTGTGCATCTTATGGAGTGAATGCAGGCTGCGCAGCTATCCCAGAAGCCAGAACAGCAAGAGGGATCGCTGCTTTCGCTGCGCAGCGATCCCTCTTGCTGTTCTGGCTTCTGAGATTCAGAATATTTTTTTTTCTTGTTTTCCTCCTCCAAAAACTAGGTGCGTCTTATGGTCTGGTGCGTCTTATAGAGCGAAAAATACGGTACTTTCTGACAGTAAGAACTGTTTGACCAAGGGATGGAAGGTAGTTGACTCTCCTTCCTTGGATGTTTTTAAGCAGAGGTTGGAGGGCCATCTGTCAAGAATGCTATGGTTGAGATTCCTGCATTGAAGGAGTTTGGACTAGATGATTCTTGAGGTCCCTTCCAACTCTATTATTCTATGTTAACGTCAGCTAACCTCCCCTGCAAGCAAATCGGAATGAATGCTTGATAAACAGGGTGTCCAGAAGCTCTTAAAAACAAGCGATTTTGTTGCACGAGTGGTCCTCACGAACTTTAGCTGTGTGACCTGAGTTTTATGATGTTAAGAAGAAGAAGAAGAGGAGGAGCAGTTTGGATTTGATATCCCGCTTTATCACTACCCTAGGGCAGTGTTTCCCAAACTTTTTTGGGCAACGGCACACCTGTTTACTGAAAAAAAATCTCACGGCACACCACCATTAAAGCCCCGTCCCGTGACGTCAGCGCGCAGCGTCACGCCGGGAGGGACGCACGAAAGTGAAAGTTTTTTCCCTCCCCCTTGCCGGGGAACCTCCAAGCTTTGGGGGTGGGAGGAGGCAGCAGAGCGAGGGACTGAGGGACGGCGGCAACTGAGGCGGCGGCGGCTGTTGTGGTGGTGGCGGCGATAGCGGGCGGAGGAGGGGGCGGCGGCGGGGCTTGAGGAGCCGTCGCCGGGAGTTGCTGCTGCTGTTGTTGCTGCTGCTGCCCGGACATGCCGGCCTCCTCCTCCTCCGCTGTCTCGCACTCCTCCCTTTTGCACGCGCTGCCCCGCCGCTCGGCACCACCACCGCGGAGCCGCCCCCGGCTCGACGCGGATCCTCGCCGCCGCCGCCTCTCACCGCCCGACTCGCCCGCCTCCCTCCCACGGCACACCAGCCAATGTCTCACGGCACAGTAGTGTGCCGCGGAACACCGGTTGGGAAACACTGCCCTAGGGAGTCTCAAAGCTGCTAACAATCTCCTTTTCCCTTCCTCCCCCACAACAAACACTCTGTGAGGTGAGTGAGGCTGAGAGACTTCAGAGAAGTGTGACTGGCCCAAGGTCACCCAGCAGCTGCATGTGGATGAGCGGGGAAGCGAACCCGGTTCACCAGATTACGAGTCTACCGCTCTTAACCACTACACCACACTGGCTCTCTTAAGCAGCATATAGAGCCAGTTGAAGTAAAATAAACTGTGGAACATGAATTTGCCACTGTGTGATGGAATCCCAGTCTGGCAGTGCCCCCAATGCGGAGAAAACCCTTTGGGGATATGGGGGGGGCGGTGCAGGCAAGCAAACTGATGCAGAGAAATGGCGAGCCGAGAAATGGTTAATGGGAAATGGTTCTAAACCACCCCCTTCCTTTTTTAAAGGCATAAGGCATTATTATATGTGTTCGCAATGTGCTGTTTGTCCTTGAGACGCAGCTGGGAATTAGGAAATTCCTTTTACTGGGATTTAACTCCTCCCCCCCCCACCCACCCGCCTTCTATCTTTTCAGTCAGTTGCCAGAACAACAAAAGGGGAAATGGAGGAGCCCTCCTCACTCGCCGTCATAAAATAAAATAAAATAATAAAACAGTACTCCCAAGGTCAGCCTTTGCCAAGCTGGTGCCCTCCAGGTGTCTGGGAATGACTGGGTCTGATGGGATTTGTAGTCCCAGCACATCTGGAAGGCACTCGCAAGGCAAACTTCGCCTTAGGTGAGTAAACAACTTTTGCTCCAACCCCAGACCTGCCCAAACTGGACTTCACACACACATATAAACACACACACACACACACACACACACACCTTCGCAGCTGCCTCTGGATCTCCTCTTAAAGGTCCCACCCGGGTACCAGAATTTTTGATTCTCCAAGTTGGCAGAGCCCTGTCCCAGAACAGAGAGGATGAGGCCAGACGCCTGGGTCTGTTTAGTGCCCTGAAACTATTTACTGCCGCGATTTCTCTCTCGTCTCTCTCGTTTCTTAAATGAGACATGTGGAGGGGGGGGACTACACTTTTGCATTTTGATACAGGGAGGGGAAATGTTGAGGAATTTTAAAAGCACAGGGGGCTCCTGGCGTGGGGGTGGGGTGGAGAGAGGGAGGTTGCAAACTCTTGAAAGTGAAATATATGTTCTCCTGCCAGCTGCTGCTCTCGGGGGACGAGAGTCACATTTTTTTGCCGTTTCTTTACAGTTTCTGGGAAATGAGAGAAACAGATTTTTCAGTGATGCGCATCGATTCCTTACATTTCTCTCTATCATGTTTTCTCTCCCTGTACTAACGCTCCTTCTGTTTTCTTCTCTCCCCCCCCCTTCCCATCCCGAAATGCCCATTTTTTAGGTTAGGACAGAAAAACCTTTATTTTCTTCCAATCCTGAGCTGGATAACTTGGTAAGGACGCTTCTTTCTTTTCTCGTTTTAAGTTTTTAAACTGCATTTCCCCTGTCCGTCTGCCAGCCTTGCCTACTGCGCATAGGAGCAACGAGGTATTTTCTCACATTCACTTTTAGTAATCACTTCTCCACACACACACATTTCCATTCAGAGAAAGTGTAGTGTAGTGGCTAGAGTATTGGTCCACGATCTGGGAGACCAAGGTTCAAGGTCCTTGGGTGAGTCATGGCCCCTCAGCCTTATCCTACTTCACCAGATTGTTGTGGGGATTAAATGAGGAGGGGAAGAAACAGGTACACCCCCTCAAGCACCTTGGAGGAAAAGCTGTTATGTAAAGCCGATGAATCAATTAATAAATCAATTAATATGTGTGCACCATCCAGATGTTGTTGCACTCCAGCTCCCAGCAGCCTCACCCACCCATAGCTGTCAACGTTTCCCTTTTTTTAAGGGAAATTCCCTTACAGTGGTACCTCAGGTTAAGTACATAATTTGTTCCGGAGGTCCGTACTTAACCTGAAACTCTTCTTAACCTGAAGCACCACTTTAGCTAATGGGGCCTCCTGCGGCTGCTGCCGCGCCGCCGGAGCACGATTTCTGTTCTCATCCTGAAGCAAAGTTCTTAACCTGAAGCACTGTTTCTGGGTTAGCGGAGTCTGTAACCTGAAGTGTATGTAACCTGAGGTACCACTGTACTCCGAATAGGATTCCTCGCAAGAAAAGGGAAAAGTTGACAGCTATGCACCCACCATGGGAGTTGTAGTCCCGCAACCCATGAAGGATGATGGGAGTAGACACGAAGGGTGTCCGCCCATCTTAGACACACACCATCATTCCTTCACAGCTTTACACAAGTGGCAGCGAGCAGAGACAAATCTGGATTCTGAATAACTTGCCTGCCAACGATTCCACCAGTGATCCTCACTGCCTGCTAGCCAACTGGACACAACTTGGGTCCTTCCCGTTGAGGGTGATGCAGAGACCAGCTGCTCAGCAAAACCAAGCAAATAAAATCCCTGGCTCTACAGTTGCTGCAGCCGTCGGTCTGCTAGGAAGTCTTAGGCAAGCCGCCGCCTCTCAGCCTTAACTAGGGTAGCCACGTGTCCTACAGGATCAGGCCAAAGGGAACACAGCACAAGAGCCATCTCCCCAGCAACTGGCATTCAGAAGTACAGTGGTACCTTGGGTTACATACGCTTCGGGTTACATATGCTTCAGGTTACAGACTCCGCTAACCCAGAAATATTAAAGGTAAAGGTACCCCTGACCATTAGGTCCAGTCGTGGCCGACTCTGGGGTTGCAGCGCTCATCTCGCTTTATTGGCCGAGGGAGCCGGCGTACAGCTTCCGGGTCATGTGGCCAGCATGACTAAGCCGCTTCCGGTGAACCAGAGCAGCGCACGGAAACGCCGTTTACCTTCCCGCCGGAATGGTACCTATTTATCTACTTGCACTTTGACGTGCTTTCAAACTGCTAGGTTGGCAGGAGCTGGGACCGAGCAACGGGAGCTCACCCCGTCACGGGGATTAGAACCCCCAACCTTCTGATCGGCAAGTCCTAGGCTCAGTGGTTTAACCCACAGCGCCACCCGCATCCCATTAACCCAGAAATATTACCTCGGGTTAAGAACTTTGCTTCAGGATGAGAACAGAAACTGTGCTCCGGCGGTTAACCTGAAACTGTTCTTAACCTGAAGCACCACTTTAGCTAATGGGGCCTCCTGCTGCCGCCGCGCTGCCGGAGCACGATTTCTGTTCTCATCCTGAAGCAAAGTTCTTAACCTGAAGCACTATTTCTGGGTTAGCGGAGTCTGTAACCTGAAGCGTATGTAACCTGAAGCGTATGTAACCTGAGGTACCACTGTAGTGCCTTTACATGGGTTAACTCGGAACATGGATTTAAGAAGTCGTTTGCCTCAGTCCATGCATGTTTTCTTCAGAAGGAAGCCAGAATCTTCAGTGAGACTTAACTCTGTGTACTATATGTACATAATAAGCTAGGGCACCAGCTGCACCCCTTGCTTGAGATACAGTAATCCCACAATTTACACGGGAGTTATGTTCCAGGGATCATGCCTAAAGTCAAAATTGTGCATGGTCAGAGCACATTGGGTGCAATGGAGGGTGGGATTGCCAGAATATTTTCTCATGGATACCCACTGGCATTCTAATTTTAAAATATATTTATAATAATAATAATAATAATAATAATAATAATAATAATAATAATAATAATTTTTATTTATACCCCACCCTCCCCAGCCAAGGCCGCGCTCAAGCCGGCTAACAATAATAACCAATAATAAAAACAAGTTGATTGAAATACAACCTAAAAAACAAGATTAAAATACAACATTAAAACATTAAAATGCAGCCTCATCACAGGAGGAGAAAGGAAAAAAGAAAGAGGGGGAGGGAATCAAATTGATTCCAAGTCGAAAGCCAGGCGGAACAACTCTGTCTTGCAGGCCCTGCGGAAAGAAATCAAATCCTGCAGGGCCCTGGTCTCATGAGGCAGAGCGTTCCACCAGGCCGGGGCCATCACTGAGAAGGCCCTGCCTCTGGTTGAGGCTAATTTGACTTCCTTAGGGCCTGGGACCTTTAGGATGTTGCTATTTATGGACCTTGAGGCTCTCCGTGGGGCATACCGGGAGAGGCGGTCCCGTAGGTACGAGGGTTCTAGGCCATGAAAGCTGAATGTGCACACAGGGCCGTCTTACTCATAGGCGCTAGGGGTGCGGGGCTCTCAGGGGCGCCAGGCCAACAGTCCGGCGCCTGAGTGTTGAGTCTGGGGAAGAGCCCGCCCGTCGGCCGGAGTGCCGCGGCAGGCTCTTCTGCTGCGGGCGGCTCTGCGCCGCAAGTTCGGGGGCGACCGAGCCAGCGAGACGCTGAGGCGGCCGGCCGGCTCCGCCCTCCTGCGCACCTGGGACTGGGCAACCTGGGGAGGGAGGCGCCGGGTGGATTTTTGCGCCCTGGTGTTGCATATGCTTAAGACAGCCCTGTGTGCACAAGATACACCAAAGTTGAGGGTTTAGTGTATCTGATTTGGCCACAGTGACACTGGCCCAAGATACATCCCACTGGAATGACTGTAACATGCTCTACAGTGGTACCTCGCAAGACGAATGCCTTGCAAGACGGAAAACTCGCAAGACGAAAGGGTTTTTGGGTTTTTGAGCTGCTTCGCAAGACGATTTTCCCTATGGGCTTGCTTCGCAAGACGGAAACGTCTTGCAAGTTTGTTTCCTTTTTCTTAACACCGTTAATACAGTTGCGACTTGACTTCGAGGAGCAACTCATAGCACGCGGTGTGGTAGCCTTTTTAGAGGTTTTTGAAGACTTTGTTGATTTTTGAAGCTTTTCCACAACTTTTCCGAAACCGTGCTTCGCAAGACGAAAAAACCGCAAGACGAAAAAACTCGCGGAACGAATTAATTTCGTCTTGAGAGGCACCACTGTATATCGGGCTGCCTTTGAAAAATGCTCAGAAACCTCAACCGGCTCAAAGAACTGCAGCCAGATTGTTGACCAGGGAGCAGAAGACTCCTTTGGTGGAACAGCTCCACCAGCTACCGGTCTGTTTCTAGGCACAGTTCAAAGCACTGGTTATGATCTTCAAAGCCCTACACCATGTAGGCCCAAGCTCTCTGAAAGACCGTATTCTCTCATATGAACCTGCCTGGGTTTTGAGATCTTCAGGGGAGACCCTTCTCTCCATCCCCTCCATCCTCACAGGAAGGCTTGGGGGACACATGGGACAGGGCCTCCTCAGTGGCTGCTCCCAGACTTTGGAGTTATCTCCCTAAACAAGTTAGCCTGTCTCCCTCCTTGTTGTCGTTCCGCTGGCAGGTGAAGACCTTTTTGCTCCAACAAGCTTTTGGGAATTGACTGCTTTTAGTTAACGGGCTGGTGGCATGCTGTTTTCATTGTAATTATTGGTGTATTTATAAACAGATTTCATATATGCATATAGTTTTAATTCTATCAATGTTTAATTGCTTTTTAATGGTGGATGAGTCTATGTTTTCAGCAGTTCTTGATTTTATCTAAGCCGCCTTGACTCCTGTCAGGGAAAACGGCAGGCTGAAACAACAACATCACAGTCTAAGACAGGGGTCTGCAACCCGCGGCTCCGGAGCCGCATGTGGCTCTTTTACACCTTTGCCGCGGCTCCGGGACGGATACTAGCGAGGGGAGGAGGCGCATTGTGCGCCCAGACACTCCCCACTGTGGCGGGCGCTGTACTGGCTGTGACGTCACATGGGGCGGTGCGTGCATTAGTCACGCACCGTCCCGACGTCACCTTCCCACCCGCTGTCAGATCGGAGGGCATGCTTTAAATGTCTCAATGGTTTTGCGGCTCCCAGGTTGTTTTTTCTTCAGAAACGGGTCCAAGTGGCTCTTTTTGTCTTAAAGGTTGCAGACCCCAGGTCTAAGAAAAGTAATACAGCCACCAATCTTTAGCAACGACTTATTTTTCTCTCTCTTTATGATTGCAGATGATCCAAGCCATTCAGGTTCTGAGATTCCACCTTCTGGAATTAGAAAAGGTACAGATGTTTGCTTTGCTTTGCAATTTCTTTTATCCTTTTCCCACCCGCAAACCCTACACCCCCCCCCCTCAAAAAACACCCCTTAGTCGTAGCAATTTGGAAGTTAGGCAGAAGGACATGATTGATCCCTGCTTTATTAGAGGCATCCCTGATTGGGAAAGAGCTGTGGTTTCCTACAATAACTGCTGAAACCAAATGTTGGGACAAATCAAGTTTGCTGAGAAGTCAAGTTGTGGTCAGTATGTCTTCCCTGCTGCAGCTAGTTTAGAATCCTGCACTGAAGAAAGTTGGATTTTGAAACCTGCATGAATTAGGTAGATTGCACCATTATTATTTTTTACATGCGTTCTCTGACTTCTGTATACATCATGTGGTGCATGCTCTAGTTATCTCCCGCTTGGACTACTGCAATGCGCTCTGTGTGGGGCTACCTTTGAAGGTGACCCGGAAATTGCAATTAATCCAGAATGCGGCAGCTAGACTGGTGACTGGGAGTGGCCGCCGGGACCACATAACACCAGTCCTGGGAGATCTGCATTGGCTCCCAGTACGTTTCCGAGCACAATTCAAAGAATTGGTGCTGACCTTTAAAGCCCTAAACGGCCTCGGTCCTGTATACCTGAAGGAGCGTCTCCACCCCCATTGTTTTGCCCGGACACTGAGGTCCAGCGCCGAGGGCCTTCTGGTGGTTCCCTCATTGCGAGAAGTGAGGTTACAGGGAACCAGACAGAGGGCCTTCTCGGTAGTGGCGCCTGCCCTGTGGAACGCCCTCCCTTCAGATGTGAAGGAAATCCTATCTTTAAAAGACATCTGAAGGCAGCCCTGTTCAGGGAAGTTTTTTATATTTAATGCTGTATTGTTTTTAACATTTGATTGGGAGCCGCCCAGAGTGGCTGGGGAGGCCCAGCCACATGGGCGGGGTATAAATAATAAATTATTATTATTATTATTATTATTATTATTATTATTATTATTATTCTGACATGTTTGCCATTTCACATGGCTTGTTTTGGTTCTGCTGGTATCCTTGCCCCAACCCTTTAGAAAACGTTAACTGAGGCCCACCTCCCGGTACCTGAGACTTCAGGCATTGCCCACACACCTCCAGGCTCATCATGAGGGACAGAAACTTGTCTTTATAAAAGGAAAGTTGATGGTGGGGAGGGGGAGTTGAGGTCCTCCACAGCAGAATTCTCAGCCTCATAGTGCAATATCTCACATGTTTCTTCTGTGCTTCTGCAAAACTAGTTTTCACATAGCTCAAAGTAAAGCCTGAGGTGGTCCCTTGGAAAAATGAAAGGGTGAAAAATCCCACTATCTCAAAGTATAAGATTCTTTTAAAAAAACAAAACAAAACCAAATCAAAATCCAAGTTATCCTCCAGCAAAAAGAAAAAAGTTTGCAAATAATTTCCCTTTCTCACAAGCGGCAGCAACAGCTGTCTCCAATTTTGAAGTATTTCCTCATATGGGAGTGAGAGGGGGAGAAGTTTTAAAAATAGACTCAGAGTCCAGTTCTCCATTATGTTTTTACGGCACCAGAACTCATAGGTTTTCAGATAAATGCTAATCTAGCGATGTTCCCCACCCATTCATACTGATGGCTAAAGAATACAGAAACGTCTCTCTGTGTGTATCTTGTAGGTTTTGTGGCTCGATCCACAAATCTCCTGGCCACCACAAAGCTCAGGTTTTCATCCCACAGCTGCCCATTTCTGAGTTAGGCATATATGCCCAGGACAGGTTACGAGACTTTAGATCTGAGCTATGGAGCCACTATATTTAGCAAAGCCACTCTGGCCTTGTCAATGGAAGCCACTTCAGTTTAGTGGCTCCGGTTTCGCAAACCTCATCCCAGGCCCCCGGTGCTGCAGCTGAGCTGAGAGGAGCTGGCCTGCTGGCCGGCTGGGTCGCCAAAAGGCACTTTGCCATGCAGCTCAGCTCCTTCGCAGCTCCCCTTTTGCTTTGATCTCGCGGCTTCCAGCTCCACGTTGACAGCTTCAATTGTTCTAGGCAAACGTAACTGAAGGCGAAGCTGCAGAAAGGCATCCAGTGAGATCACACTGGGAGCTGAAGGAAGGAGGGTGTTGGCAGAGCCATCTTTCTGCCCGCTGCTGTCCATCACCTTTGGCCCGGCCAACATGGTGCCCTGTAAATATTTTTGCCCTGTTTTGGGAAGTTTTTAATATTTAATGTTGTATTGTTTTTAACACTTGATTAGAAGCTGCCCGAGGGACGCAGGTGGCGCTGTGGGTAAAAGCCTCAGCGCCTAGGGCTTGCCGATCGAAAGGTCGGCAGTTCGAATCCCCGCGGCGGGGTGCGCTCCCGTTGCTCGGTCCCAGCGCCTGCCAACCTAGCAGTTCGAAAGCACTCCTGGGTGCAAGTAGATAAATAAGGACCGCTTACTAGCGGGAAGGTAAACGGCGTTTCCGTGTGTGGCTCTGGCTCGCCAGAGCAGCGGTGTCACGCTGGCCACGTGACCCGGAAGTGTCTCCAGACAGCGCTGGCCTCTTGAGTGAGATGGGCGCACAACCCTAGAGTCTGTCAAGACTGGCCCGTACGGGCAGGGGTACCTTTACCTTTACCTTTAGAAGCTGCCCAGAGTGGCTGGGGAAACTCAGCCAGATGGGCGGGGTATAAATAATATATTATTATTATTATTATATTATTATTATTATTATTATTATTATTATTATTATTATTATTATTGCCTGTTTATATATCCTGGCGAGGTCTGGCCCAGAAATAAGTGTATGAGGTGCATGTTCCTTATGCGTTTAACTTCAGAAGAAGCTGGGTTCATCGGAGGTTGTTGCCTAGCAACCGCTCCATTTGAGCAATACCTTGGACCAGCGTCTTGGGCCTCCAGCGTTCAGAAATTTGGATATAGGTGGTTTATGTCACAGTACTTAAAATCACAGGCTGTGTGTCAGCCTAGTTAGAATTTCATCCTTTGGATCACGGGCAAGTGTAAGCCAGTGAGATTATTTGACTGAAGTTAGCCGTGTCTATTAATTTCAGTGGGTCTACTCTGAGCAGGACTAACATTGGATGCAACCTTTTGGGTCTTCCCTGCAAGAGACAGGCCATGCTCCTTGGCTTAGGATCATGTCCAAACTGGGGACTGTTGTTTGTTTTGCTCTAACAAACCGCGGCCAGTAAGCCAAGGACAAACCTTGGCTACAGATCAGAGTTCCTTGGAAGGGAAACAAACCACAATCCCTGATTTGGATGTAATGCTAAGATAGGGATCGTGGCTTGTGTCCCTCCAGCGCTAGCAGAAGGGCGGGCAGAAATAACACAACCGGATTGTGGTTGGTAAGCTTACTGTGACTTGACAGGGCCTTTTCGGTGATGGTTTCCAGGTGTGGAACACCTTTCCTGGCAAGGTACACCTGTCTCCCGCACTGTTGAGAAAGTTAGAAATATTCTTGTTTACCTAAGCAGCTGGTGACTGGTAGACACTGGCTGTAGCAACCATGAAATCAATGCCTGAGGGTGTGTCGTTGCTTTATTTTTTACGTTCTAAATGTTTTATTTTTATTGCACCATTTTGATGCTCGCTGCTCTGGGCTCCTGTGGGAGGGAGCTCAGGATAGGAATTTCATGAACAAAACCAATAGATAATAAATAAATGTGGCCCCAGAAAGCTAGCAAGTCAGGGGGACAGACGGACTAGACTACAGTGGTGCCCCGCAAGACGAATGCCTCGCAAGACAAAAAACTCGCTAGACGAAAGGGTTTTCCGTTTTTTGAGTCGTTCCGCAAGACGAATTTTTCTATGGGCTTGCTTCGCAAGACGAAACGTCTTGCGAGTTCTTGCGAGTTTGTTTCCTTTTTCTTAAAGCCGCTAAGCCGTTAATAGCCGCTAAGCCGCTAATAGCCGTGTTTCACAAGACGAAAAAACCGCAAGACGAAGAGACTCGCGGAACGGATTAATTTCGTCTTGCGAGGCACCACTGTACAACCCTTCTCCCTGACGTGACCAACTTCCATGTGAAACCTGAATGTTTATCTTTACGAAAACAGAACAATCCTTTCACCTAGAAATCTAACACTTCAGGGACATGTCTCCTCCCTGACACTCTAGCTTTCGGGGCACAGGCTGCCCACCTCTTTGAGTTATTTGGTGGGCCCTGGAAAAGAGTGGGTGTCAAGTCTACCCCCTTTAACCAGCCCAAACCCACATGGGAAAACCCCACTGCTTGCCTCTACAGGTGGGACATGTGGTTGTGTGTGTGTGTGTGGAAATAAAGGCACGCTCTTTGCTAGGGTAATGAGCTCGTTAGCCACGCAGTAAAACTCAGTGTTTGTAACCTGATAAATCCCTTGTTAATGTAATTAACCCTTTGATTCACGCAGAGGGCACCTGCTGGGAAGCAGCGGACTCTAGAAGCTGGGGTTTAATTCTTTGTCCTGGGGAAAGGGGTGTTTCTGAGTTCAGAAGAGGGAGAAGGGGGTCGGTGGTGCTCTGCTGGGTCAGAGACAAGGCTGTGGGGAGGCGGAAAGGGGAAATGGCAGCCCCATTCAGCCACCACTGAAGTCTCTTAGATCTCTGACATGCTAACATTAAGAGGGTCCCAAAAATTCACTAGGCAGTTACCAGATTCAGATCTGCTTAGTTTCAGCAAGGTGCTGGCTTCAAGTACGGTACCTTCAGAATAAGCCCTGGCCGGCGGCCTGTTTATTAAAAACAAAAGCCCTGCCAAGTTTCTAAACCCTGGTGCTTCAAGAAGAGCTTTAAAAAGGGCAATGGGGCATTTATTTATTCATGTTAAAGCATTCCTAAACTGCTCAGTATTTCAAGAATCTCCCAGTCTAAAAAACGAACAAATATACAGTGGTACCTCAGGTTAAGTACTCAATTCGTTCCGGAGGTCCGTACTTAACCTGAAACTGTTCTTAACCTGAAGCACCACTTTAGCTAATGGGGCCTCCCGCTGCCGCCGCACCACCGGAGCCCGATTTCTGTTCTTATCCTGAAGCAAAGTTTTTAACCTGAAGCACTATTTCTGGGTTAGCGGAGTCTGTGACCTGAAGCGTCTGTAATCTGAAGCGTCTGTAACCTGTACTGTTAAAGCAAATGAAATGATAATGAAATAATAAGACTGAACTTTACAAAACCCACACATATATAAACAGGAACAAAAACGGAGCCTGATAAAACAGCAATATAAAAACCACAGAAAAGCGAACAAAACAGAAAATCAGAGGACTCAAAAACATGTAAAATGGGGGCTTTTCTTATGGGGCAAAGAAATCCTGGGCATATAAATATACCCTCTGCTTCCTGCTCTTGAACCAGTTACTGATGCAGGAAAGGATCTTATCTGTTATGCCATGATTAGGAAGGGAAAAGTCCATATCTTGCCCCCCCCCTCCCTGAGTTCTTGGTTGCTTCCAGAACTCCTGAATGTTCAGGTAGAATACTTACCAGCTGGAAATTCCTGGCTTTTAAACTAGCCACTCCTGGCTACTCTTTCATTTTCACTTTTTTTCTTTCTTTTTGGCAGGTACATGACCTCTGTGACAATTTCTGCCACCGCTACATCACTTGCCTGAAGGGGAAGATGCCCATCGACTTGGTCATCGACGACAGAGACGGGGGCTCGAAATCCGATCTTGAAGATTTTGGCGGCTCCTGCGCCAGCCTCTCCGATCAGGTAGGACACCTGCGGGGCATGTGCTTTGGGCAGCAAGCCCTGGCTGCAGCCGAACCGTTTGCCTGCTGCCATCATAATTTGACTTTAAGAAAAAGGAGGCACGTTTTCAAGGAGTTTTCTGCCGACCTGGAAATTTGCAAATGTAGATTCTCAGATGTGTGTCTTGTGATCAGCGGCATCAGCTATATTGCAAAGTCAAGTAAATTGCAAAATGTTTTATAGGAAAAGTGGAGTGGTGTGAGGATCTCCCAGTGCCATTTTCATGCACAACTCTACCTTGATGCAAAGCATCATTTGTGAGTTTGTGGTGCTTACCTGCAATAGCTCAGGGGTTAAAAGTGCTGAAGGTTCAATCTTTAGCGTCTTCAGGTAGGACTGAGAGGTGTGGGAATGTTCAGGGTGACAAGAGAGGATATATTGATTACAGTGGTGCCTCGCAAGACGAAATTAATTCGTTCCGCAAGTTTTTTCATCTAGCGAATTTTTCGTCTTGCGAAGCACGGTTTCCCATAGGAATGCATTGAAAATCAATTAATGCGTTCCTATGGTCAAAAAAAGTCCAAACAAAGCCAAATTTGGTACAACAAGAGTTTATTAAGTGCTCTTTAAAGTCACACATACTGTAAAGAGCATTTCAAAATTCAAACCCAGAATTTTTTTAAAAAAACAGCAGAGTGGCCCAATGGTCACAGAAAATCATAAAAATTCAAAAAAAAAAAAAAAACCTACACAAGCTCCCAGATTCTTGCAAACCCCTCCCCAACTGTTCCCCCAGCCAGCCACCACACAGAAATTCAAACCCAGAATTTTTTTTCGTCTTGCAAAGCAAGCCCATAGGGAAATTCGTCTTGCGAAGCAACTAAAAAACGGAAAACCCTTTCGTCTAGCGAGTTTTTCGTCTTGCGAGGCATTCGTCTTGCGGGGCACCACTGTATTAATATCCTTCTAACTTGCGCTATGTGATGGCCTGGGATTCAGACTCGGATGCTGAACCTGAGGGATCCCAGCCTGCACAGGATTCCCCGCCTCCAGAACCAGCTGAGCTGGGGCTGGGGCATGAGCCTGAAGGGTCCTCACCTGTGCTGGATCCTCAGGTGCAGGCATCAGCTGAGTCTGCTCTGGCTCCTGAGGTGATGGAGGACCTATTGCCTGCAGGTGCTCCACTCTCAGCCCCGTCAGAGGAAGCTGAGGTTGTCTCTGGGTCCAGTAACCCTTCAGCCTCTCCTGAGCTGCAGAGGCTCAGGGCAGAGAGGCAGAGGGAACTAAGTTCCCGCAGGAGGAGTGCTCGCCTCCAGGCCAGGAGAGGCGAGTCACCAGAGGATCGGGGCTGCCCTATGCCTCGGGGCACATAAAAGCCGGCCAGCCCCAGTCCCAAGTTGTGGGAGCAACATTGTTGGTAGCCAGTTCCTGCCTGCTGGAGCCTGTCCTGCTGGAGCTCCTGACCGCACCCGACTCCCTGCCTTGGACCCAGCTTCAGCTTTGACGGACTGCCTCCATACTGCAACTTCGACCTCGGACTGGACTCGGACCTTGCCTCATGGTTAACCCACGGGACCAGCACACGCTAGCAAGTTCCTTTACTTAGCAGAGTTTACTGGAAACTGGAACGTGTCCAGAGGAGGGCAACCAAAATGGTCAAAGGCCTGGAAACGATGCCTTATGAGGAACGGCTAAGGGAGCTGGGCATGTTTAGCCTGGAGAAGAGGAGGTTAAGGGGTGATATGATAGCCATGTTCAAATATATAAAAGGATGTCATATAGAGGAGGGAGAAAGGTTGTTTTCTGCTGCTCCAGAGAAGCGGACACGGAGCAATGGATCCAAACTACAAGAAAGAAGATTTCACCTAAACATTAGGAAGAACTTCCTGACCGTAAGAGCTGTTCGACAGTGGAATTTGCTGCCAAGGAGTGTGGTGGAGTCTCCTTCTTTGGAGGTCTTTAAGCAGAGGCTTGACAACCATATGTCAGGAGTGGTCTGATGGTGTTTCCTGCTTGGCAGGGGGTTGGACTCAATGGCCCTTGTGGTCTCTTCCAACTCTATGATTCTATGATACATTCCCCTTTTTACACACACATCAGATAGCTGGTTGCAGGCTCGTGTAAGCCTCTTACATTACCTCTCACATTACCAGATTGAATTGTACATTCCTGGTAAGTTTCCTTGAATCCCTCTTAGAAGAATAAAGACGCCACAATCTCATTCAAAGTCAATAAAAGAAGTTTACTTACATCAGTTCACAGTTGGATCCCTGAAGTCAGTCTTAGTTACAAATATGTACATGTGGATCTACCCCCTATTGAGGGATAATCCCAGAACTTCTGGTAGAGCTAGCAGAGCAGTCCTAGCTAGAAGCTGGTCAAATGAAGAAGGAAGTGAAAAAGAGAGAGGTGTGCTGTGTGACTCATCCTTTTGTTACCTGGACAGGTAAGGTCACGCCCACCTTCTATCACATGCAAAAGGAAGGATGCTCCAGCCCAGGAGGAACAGGAAGTTTCAAGTGGCTGGACCAAACATCCCCTTGCATGTCCACTCTAGGAAGACAAGGAATGTTGTATTTAACTGCTCCCAGTGGATTACATCCCACAAGATGGACCCTTATCTGGAACCATGGAAAGCTACACCGCCAGTGTAGACAATAATGTGCTACATGGACCAATGGTCGGACTCGCAATACAGCAAATTCCTATTTTCCCTATAAAGGTAAAGGTAAAGGTACCCCTGCCCGTACGGGCCAGTCTTGACAGACTCTGGGGTTGTGCGCCCATCTCACTCAAGAGGCCGGGGGCCAGCGCTGTCCGCAGACACTTCTGGGTCACATGGCCAGCGTGACAAAGCTGCATCTGGCGAGCCAGCGCAGCACACGGAACGCCGTTTACCTTCCCGCTAGTAAGCGGTCCCTATTTATCTACTTGCACCCGGGAGTGCTTTCGAACTGCTAGGTTGGCAGGCGCTGGGACCGAGCAACGGGAGCGCACCCCGCCGTGGGGATTCGAACCGCCGACCTTTTGATCGGCAAGCCCTAGGCGCTGAGGCTTTTACCCACAGCGCCACCCGCGTCCCATTTTCCCTATAGCCAATGTGCAATTGGGGTAACAGCAGGATTTTCCAGATCGTTATTTCACATTGCAATTTGGGACGCTAGAGTTGTTGTGCTAGTTAAAGAGGATAGTGATCTGGCTTAATGCTTCATTTATTTCCTTTTTTTATTTTACAATGGCACATAGCTCTTTTCCTCCTGTGGAAACAACCCTTTATAATTAGTTATTTATTACCATTAGCTACACTGCCTTTTGTGATGAAATTTTAAGTCTGTGTTCGTCGTTTTCTCTGCTCTCCCGACATGCTGGAATTCTGTTCTTCCCATCCCTGAAAAGGGCAAGTTGAAACAATCACTTTAATAAATAAGTAATCCATCATGCGACCTTGTGTTTTCTTACCATTTCTGACCGACTTGCTTGGGTCAGCTTTCTTTATGCTGGGCAAGAGTTATAAGAAATCTTGTCTGGCCTCACTGCGCTCCCCTTTTTCTTTCTGAGAGTTAATGGCAACTTTTCAGAACCCAGTTGTTGTATTGGGGACATAACATTTGCTGCTGCAATGATGTGATCTTCAGTTTAGGAAATGATAACCGCAGATATTTCTCATACAGCTGTTTCTTCCAAACATATTGAGTTCAGAAGAGTCCCTTCTAGTCTTAAATCCTGCTCTTATCCAGGGCCTGCTATTTTGTGCGTGAAAGTGTGGCGATCCTTACCTAACCTGCTTTCTCTGCTGGGAGACCTGGCAAATATGCCCAATCTACTGCTTCAGTCTGTTACAAGTGCTACCTAATACTTATTCTGCTTTTGTAAGAAACTACAGCTAATCCAGAATATAGTGGCCAGACTGGTGACTGGGAGCAGCTGCCGGGACCATATAACACCCATCCTTAATGATCTACATTGACTCCCAGTATGTTTCTGAGCACAACTCGAAGGGTTGGTGCTGATCTTTAAAGCCCTAAATGGCTTTGGCCCAGTACAGTCAAACGTTGGTTTTCTAATGGCTCCATTTTTGAACATTTTGGCTCCCGAATGCCGGAAACCCAGAAGTAAATGCTCCAGTTTTTTAATGTTTTTGGAACCTGAACGTTCCAAAGCTCTTGCAACCAATCAGAAGCCACGCCTTGGTTGTCGAACGGTCTTCCGGAATGGATTACATTCGACAACTGAGATTTGACTGTCTACCTGAAGGAGCGTCTCCATCCCCATCATTCAGCCTGGACACTGAGGTCCAGCTCCGAGGGCCTTCTGGCGATTCCCTTCCTGCAAGAAGTGAGGTTACAGGGAACCAGACAGAGGGCCTTCTCTGTGGTGGCACCCGCCCTGTGGAATGCCCTCCCACCAGATGTCAAGGAAATAAACAACTATCTGACTTTTGGAAGACATCTGAAGGCAGCCCTGTTTAGGGAAGTTTTTAAGGTTTGATGTTCTGTTGTGTTTTTTATATTTTGCTGGAAGCTGCCTAGAGTGGCTGGGGCAACCTAGTCAGATGAGAGGCAAATAAATAATACAATTCTTATTCCTATAGGTGGGGCCAAAGCATATGTGGGGGGTGCCGACACCCTCCCTGTTTTCCTCTCCGCCCAACAGGCTGTCAGACAAGGGAAGAGCTCGCTTTTGCCACAGATCTGAAGTGACCACTTGCAGAGAGACGGCCCTTGAAACCAGGCCATACAGAATTAGGCCAAGGGTCTCCATCTTGCCCACAGACCACTGATGACTCCCCAATGTTTAGGACAGAGGCTGTTTGCAGCCCTAGCTGGAGTTTCGAGGGTGCGAACCTTTTGCCTGCAAGTGCGCGTTTTGCCGCGCAGCGATAATTTTTGCCGAGGCAGACGGAGGCGCAGAAATCACACTTGGATATCCTCAGGCTACCCGACGTCTCACATAAAGCATTTCGAAATATAGCTGACTTTGGGATCCCCCCCCCCGCACCCCACACCCCCTGTCCCGTCCCC